CAGTGGCGCTGACCGCTGGGCACTTCCCAGCAGGCACTTCAGTGCGAGTCGGTGACTTGGGCGGAGCGGTATCATGCGACGCAAACAACGGAAAACACGACTATGAGAGGAGGGGTGATGGTGAAGGTGGTCATGATAACGATGGCAAGGTCAATGACGGCACCGATGTAGATCACGCCCGCCGATAGCGATGATATTGTCCTCCTGTCGGCGATGGACGTTGACGAGAAAGTCGAGTTCGACATGCGCGCGCGGCCGACGCGCGCGGGTGTCCCGCGTGGCATTATGTGACACGGATCGTGCCCCGCGCCCCCCCAGAGGCCCGTTTAGCAGATCTTGACAAAGAACTTGAGAAACCGATGGTTTTGTGAGAAAGGTGCATGTCCGCATGCGCAGGTTTGTCGAACACGGCTGGTGCAAAACCATGTGTTTTAGATATGGTTTCGGGACACTCTTTTGTGACATCCATACGAAACCGAAGGTTCATGAAACATTCCGGCATGCGCGCGCGACGCCGCGCGCGTGCGCACGTCGTCCCATCACCAATGCTAGTAGTGAAAGGCCGACTCCAATGCTCGCGCAATCACCCACCCACCCTCGCAACTTGGTTTACAAACTCATGCGACGGCTTGCGATGAGTGCTTGGAGATTGCTGGTGCATCTTTGCGGCCGCGCTAGCCCGCGCATGCTCGGGCGCGCAGCGGCCAGCTAGTGCGGCGATACAGACGCGGCCGCAGTGGCGCTGACAGCTGGGCAATTCCCAGCGGGCACTTCAGTGCGAGTCGGTGACTTCGGCGGGCGCCTTATCATGGCGACGCCGACAACGGTGGACACGATGAGCGTAGCCATGATGGTGACGACGGCGGCGATGACGATGGCAAGGTCAATGACGGCACCGATGTAGATCACGCCCGCCGATAGCGATGACATTGTCCTCGCGTCGACGATGTCGGTTCGGGGGAGACTTTGACATGCGCGCGCGGTTGACGCGCGCAAGTGGCCCGCGTGGTATTACGTGACACGGATCGTGACCCCCCCAGCACGCGAGCAAGGGCGATCGGATGAGTACGACATGCGGCGCGAGAGGCCCGCTTGGCAGAAGTTGGTGACAATGTTGAACACATCATGGATGTCTCAAGAATTTGCCAAAACGCGCGCGCATGTTTTTAAAGAACCGATGTTGCAACGAAATGCTGTCATATGTGTGCGGGACACTCGCTTTTGACACCCATACGAAACCTCAGGTTTTGAAGCACTTAGGAACGCGAGCGCAACGACGCGCGCGCGCACTTCGGCTCATTTGGTGCAGAAGCAGTTCTCGCGACAAGGCACGCGCAAGGGCGGTCGAACGACTTCGAAATGCGCGAGCGAGAAGCCCACTTGGTAGCATTCTGTGAAATTGTGAAAAACCTGTGGTCCACTTCAGAATCTACAAGAGCAAGGGCGCAGGCTGTTTCGACAGGATTGGTTGCGAAACCAGGTGCATAAATATATATATATATGTATATGCATATATAAGTGTGTATATATATATATATAGATGTGTGTGGGGGGGACGCTCGATTTTGAAGTCCTTACGAAACCGAAGGGCTTTGAGGAAGGTCGGCATGCGCCCGCAACGGCGCGCGCGTGCGCACTTTGCCCCATCTGTTGTAAAGGATTCGTGCGACAACTCGCGCGCAAGTGCGTTCGAGCAATTTCGAAACGCGCGCGCGAGCGGCCCGTTTGGCAGCATGTCGTTAAGAAGTTGGCAAACCTATGGTTTTCCCAAGAATCTGCAAAAACGCGAGCGCAGGATTTGTTGAAAACCCGTTTGCGAAACCATGTGTGCTGATATGTATTCGGGGCACTCGATTTTGATATGCTTTCGGCGTGCGCGCGCGACGACGCGCGCGCGTGCGTACTTCGTCCCATTCGTTTGCCATGGAATTCTTGACAGCTGGTGAGTGTTGATGAACGAGTGCGCGCGCATGAGATATGTTGCATAGGATGAGGGGGAGGGACTGGCCTGGATGGGATGGTACGAACTCATATTTCGGATGGACGATCGAGCGAACCATCTGCAAATTGCAACACGAGATGGTGAGCGGTCAAGTCTGGGGGGGGGGTAGGCCCTGGCACTCCTCTGAAAAAGGGAATACGCGTGGCGCAAACCATGACGTGCGAGCTGCGTGGTGCAAGCTACGTGGTGCAAGCCACGCGGTGCAAGCTGCGCAGGCAGCGTGGCGCAGGCGATCGGGGCGCCCACCGAGGTGCCCACGGACAGGCACCGAGCGAAACCCTGGCACACACACACACACACACACACACACCCAGCGTCAAGTCGGGCCTGCCCCCCTACAGAGAGATCTTCGACCAAACCTAAAAAAGACACCCCAATAATAATCAAAACATAGTCCAAACATAGTCTGGGGACTATTTTTTGAATATTTGTTGACCCTCTTGGGGCATTTTGAGGGTATCTTTTTTTCGTCGAAAATCCATACTATAATCAAACAATAACCCCATACAATAATCAAACAATGATCCAAAAAGAATATGGGGACTAGTTTTTGAGTATTGTTTGACCCTCTTGGGGTATTTTTGGGGGTATTTTTTTTTCCGTCGACAAATCCCCCTGCAGGGGGATACGCCCGACAGAACCCTGGCGAGGGGCCCGCACGAGGCGCCCAGACGGGCGGGACCCCGGCAGCACCTCGCCCTCGCCTCTGACGGGCCTGTGAGGTCCTCGCCTTTCGCGCATGCGGCGCCGCCAGTGGCAGGCGTGCCGTGCCGCGAGCTGTGCGGCCCGCGCGCGGCCCCCAGCGGTCGGCTCCTGCTCCAGCAGGTGCTCGCCCCAGTGAGAAGCACCGTGGAGAAAATCCTGCAACTTGAGACCCAATATGCGTCGGATCCACGTCGGATTTACGCCCGGGCATTGCCCCAGCCCCGCGCGCGGGGCGCCCGCCCACGAGGCGCCCCGCCCGCCGAGGCGCCGCGCGACGCGCCTCGGCGCCGCCCTCTCGCGCGGGGGGAGCGCCCACCGAGGCGCCCACGAGACGCCCCCCCGGCGGGCCTAATAAAAAAAAAACTTATCACGGGAGGCCTAAAACCCTGCTTTTTTGTTTTCTAATGTATATATATGTATATATATATATATATATATATATATATATACGTATATACATTCATTTTTTAAGCAAAAAACGACACAGCCTAAAACCAAGACACAGAATAGCTCTGGGATAGGTTTTTGAGTCGCGTGCTCTTTTTTAGCCCTCCTGGAAGGTCAGGGTAGTCCCCCCCCCCCGGCGGGGCGCCCACGGGGCGCCCGCGGGCGTGCGCCGGGCAGGACCTCGGTGAATTCGCCAGGCCCCGCCGGCGCGGGCCGCCCACGAGCCGCCAACGGGCGCCAACGAGCGGGCGCCAGCCGAAGAGCCGGAAGGGCGAGCCAGATCATTGCGTGAGAACGACAACCGGGAACCCCTGAGGGCAACCACTGTTCGGCGAGTTCAAGAGAAGCCCCCTCGGAAGAGATCCTCCATACCTCTGGGGGGACACGCTGTCGAATGTCGCGCGCCGCCGCCTAGTTACGCGCGCGCCCATTGCCAAGATCTGATGCGCCGCTGGCGACGGATCTGCACGGTAAGTTCGTGGCATGACGCCCCCGGCGTTGGTTTCGGCCACCGCATGAACCGTTCCACCTAGATCGATCGGCGGCTCTTCGATCGCTAGATCATTCCACACTGGCCGATTCTGGGCCACCCCCGTCCTTCTCCTCCTCATCCTCCACCTAACTCCGACCCTGGGCGGAGCTCGTAGCGTCGAACTCCTCCTCATTCCCCTCCTTCCCCTCCCCCTCGTCATCCTCGCCATCCGATGGGCAACCGAACAAAAAATACCGATTCCGCTATTCGCCAGACCTCTCCCAGGGTGCATTCTGACCAAAAGTTCGGTGCAAATCCAACCCTGGCGACGAGGGCCTCCCAGGAGGCCCCAAAAGGCAAAAACAAGGGAAAGGTAGCGGTATCGGCACTTGCTCCACATCCACAAATCACAGATCATTGAATATTGGATTTGTTGGGTCGCGATCGGTTGCGACCGATCGGCACTCGAAATCTGTCGCGACCGACCCTGGAATTTGGAACAAAATCAACAACTGGGGACCGATATCGCCGGCCGCGACAAAACAGTTCTGGCGTCTGGTGATCATGGCCTCCTCCCAACATGAGCACCGTTCAACCGACCCCTTTCCCGTCCGGCGTGGCCTGGGCCCCACTGGCCGCTTCACCACTCTAGAGATGGGGCATATAGGCTGTCCCCTTCGAGTTTCCAAGGGCATATCCTCAGCTGGTGTGGTGAGATGGTGAGAGCTCTGCATGGGGATGGGGATGGGCATACGAGGCCCCCAGAAATCTCGACCCACTCCCCAGGGCTGGAGTTTCACCCAGAGGTTCGTTTTATTAACGGCCCCGGGGCCCAGCGAGGGCCACCAGAGCTAAAAGCGACCGAAGCGCGTCGTCTTCATCGTTCTTTACGCCGGATCTCTGAGGAGCCGAATGCTCGAGAAGGGATCGGTCATTTGGACGCCCGAGATGGGTACGGAAAGAATGGGCACAATGCCCAACAACAAATGTTGCCCCAAACCAGCAGCGGCCGCTTGTTGGCAGGCGACCTCCTGTCTCGAATGGACACAGGCCGCGGCGGCGCGGACAGCGAGTCCTGTCCAAGCTGAACAAGAACTGCTGTCGGGCATCGTACCCATTCTTTCCGTAATTACCCATTTCGTTCGTGCAGATCCGAAGAGCCGAATGCTCGGGAACGGATCTCGCCATCGCTCCGACGTCCACTTCCCGTGCACTATTCGGTTTCGTGTGTTTTTTTTGCTCGATGGTCCAGGATCGTCCTCGATGGTTCTCGCCGAGACAAAAATGCACACGTCCGAGCGATGCCAGGCGAATGCTCGAGAAGGGCTCGGTCAGAACGGTGCGGGCCCTCCACGGCGTAGAGCCCCTGGGCGCCTTGTTGATGGTCGCCTCGAGCTTCCCCTGCATGGCCTTCGCCTGCCGCCCCGCAGCGCTATTGAAGGGGCCCCAGGACACACAAATAAATACACACAAATAAACAGATTCCCCATATTTTCGTATATTTTCTGGGTTTCTGTCTTCCCCCCCACTTCCCATATTTTCCTATATTTTCTGTGGGATCGACGATTAGTTGTGTCTGTGTGTTGTTTTCTCTCCTGAGCTATGCCAGCCCGTCCCTTGGTACAAACACGAGCCGCGCGGGCCGGTGCAGCAGAGGCATGCACCAGGCCCCCGTGGGCTTGCCTTCGTGGGAAATTCGGGCGATGTTCGCAGGGGCCCATGCTGGGAGGGGCCCTGGGACACACACACACACACACATAATAAAAAAAAAAAAAATCCACGAATCAAAAGATTCCCCAAATTTCCCCATATTTTCTGGGCTTCTGTCTTACCCCCCACTTCCCATCGTTTCCCATATTCTCCTGGGGATCGACGATGAATTGTGTCTGCGTGTTCCTTTCCCTCCTGAGTCAGTCGTAACAAGCCCTGCCTTCCCTCCCTGGTCCTGGTCCGGTTCCTCCCCCCCTCCGTCCCTCCCTCCTGCTGTTCCCTCCCTCCCTTCCTTCTGCCCCTCCTCCTCATCCGCCGCGAGACTGCCCCACCCCAACAGTTGAGCCGACCGCGTCCACCTCCTCCTCCTCCTCCTCCTCCTCCTCCTCCTGCTCCTCCTCCTCCTCCTCCCTCTCTTCCTCCTTTCCTTCCTCCTCATATTTCTCCTCCGCGTCATCCTCTTCCTCCTCCTCTTCCTCCTCTCCCTCCTCCTGAAAATGTTATAAGGTTTGTCCTGCCAGAAAACCATAAAAAAACTTGACTCAAACAGTGTCGGCAATCATGACTGCATGGCTTACACTAGTAGACGATCTGCCCACACAGGGTATCCGCGGACCAATCGCTGGAAGATGCCTGACGCTGACGGCTCAGTCAGGAGCGGGACGCCACATTATTGTCACGTCACACCCTATCGGCCGCATTGGGCCGCCGAACGCGCCGCAAATCGACTGTAGAACACATGTAGAAATTGAAAGGCACGTTTGGCATCAATTCGGCAAGTCCAAATAAGATGCGATATGCAAAACTGCGGTCAATCGCCCTGGTAACCCAAAAGACGCCATACTATGGGACGCATATGCGAATACACAGCGGTTTGGTAAGTGAACCGCGCCCAGAAGTCAAGTCTCCAACCGAACAAACCTGGGCTATGTAAAATCCATTAAAAAACAGTTAGGGGAAGCAACAACAACGAAGGTTTGGGCGTAAACGTGCAGAGCCCTCCGAACATGCGGCGCACGACGGCTCGATGTCGCAAAGCACTGTATCATGCAGCAATGTGTTCAACGTGTTTCGCGGTACGGGGCTAAAATCGCACAATGAAATACCTGCCCCTTGCCGGATCATGAGCGCAGGTCCTGGGTGAATCGGCTTGCGATGAAAGCCAAGCAATCGACTGAACTAACACACCGTAGCTGGTGCGAGCTCGAACCATCCCTTAACAAAGTGTTGTTGGGTACGTCGCATACGCATGGGCACGTTCGCATGGGCATGTTATCCCTACTCAGATGTTGGTTGCAGCCTTGCAAAGTTATTTGGAATGTCTTGTTGATCACCCTGACGTCGCCAGGTCCCACTTCATTGATTAACAAAGCCTGCCAGACTACGATGTGCTTGATGTATGCCAGTCCTCGCCTGCTCGCACTGGCAAGGGCTGCACTTGCATCGCTCTTGAGCGAGATGCCACAATCAACTCGGAACCCAGAAGACATGCATTCCTGACACCATTGGAACACCATTAACCATTCCGCACTACTCCACTTCGCCGGAATGCAATGACACCACATTCTGCATATAACTCCACGCCTTAATCAGGTGTGATCCAAACGTCAGAGAGAACCCGTTTCACAGGCGCTTGCCTTGGGAACATTCGGCGGCGCGTTTCGAAACGGGGGCCCCCCCCCAACACTCGGCGCGGTCGATCAAAACCAGGGGGACTCCCCTCCCCCCCCCCAATCCCCCCCCCCCCCCTTCCCAAAGGGGGGGGGGTTCAACCCCCCCCTTTCGGCGCCGGCGCGCCGGCGCCGGCGGTGGCCGCCAGCAGCGCCGACGGCGGGGACGCAGCGACGATGACCACAGGTAGCCCAATGGAAAGGGGGGGTTCAAACCCCACCCCCCCCATCGGCGCCGGCGCCGGCGTTGGCGGCGCCGGCTTGCAGCGCCAGCGCTGGCGCCGGCGACGGCGGGGACGCGTCAACGATTACCACCACTACCACCACCGCCACCACTACCACCACCACCACCGCCTCGCCTCAACCCACCACCACCACCACCAACAACAGCACCACACAACCACCACCTCCACCACCACCCGCCACCACCACCGCAACCAACACCACAACTCACCATCACCACCACCACCGCCACCACACAAACCCACCACCACTACCAATACCACCACCGCCGCCACAACCACCACCACTACCAGCAACACAACCCACCGCCACCACACCACCACCACCACCACCACCACCACCAGCACCACGTCCACAAACCACCGCCACCACCACAAACCACCCCCACCACCACCACGAACCACCACAAACCACAACCACAAACCACAACCACCATCACCACAACTCACCATCACAACCACCACCACGAAAATTATTCACTGCGTGGAGCTCCCCATATGTGCATCTACTCGCATGGACCTGTCCGCCGTGAATGTCTAGGCGCAAGAGCTTTCGAATATTAACGGGCTTCAGTTGCGACGGTCTGGACATCAATCTAAGTGCGAATGAATTGGAGTGTGAATGAGCCTCAATAGTACGAACGCGTCTCTGTGCATGAGCCTGGGGCCTCTTGGGGCCTCCTGAAACCTACTGGGGCTTCCTGGGGTCTCCAGGAGCCTCTTGGGACCTCCTGGGACCTCCTAGGAAGGTTTCGTGCCCCAGGAGAGGCGCAATCTATAGCAACAGACGTACATAAAACATTGCGGATTCGAGCCACTTTTTTTTAAATGGTCTGAGCAGCCCGCGCGACGCGGGCCGATCCCGTTCGCCCCCTCCACCGCTCAGCAGCGCCGCGGCTTACAGCTGCGCGGCGTGCACGACCGCGCCAGCGGCCACCAGGGCGTGCGCAAGAGGGCGCCTCGCGGCGCCGCGCTGCCCCAGGAGCTGGAGGCGGAGGGGGCCCCTGGCGCCAGGCCCGCGCCACCCCGCGGGCCAGCCCGTAGAGCCTAGGCGGGGCGCCAACGGACGGCCTCCAGCATGCGCCGAAGGTCGTCGCTCGCCTCGGGGCGCCAATCGGCCGCCCTCCGAAGGACGCCGTCCGCCACGGCGAACGCGTCCTCGAGGGCAGCCGCCGCCCCCGCCGCCGCGTCCGAGGGAGCAGCTCCGCCGCCAGGCTCCGCCGCCGCCATCGTCGCGTCCGCTTGCCCCTTCGCCCCCGGGGGCCCCGCGAGTGCCAGCTCCGCGCCCGCGGCCGCGCCGGCCGCGCCAGCGCCCTCCGCGTCCACGACCCACCGGCCCTCGCGCCCAGGGGCGGTTCCGGGCCTCCGCCTGCGCCTCCGCGGCCAGGCAGGGGCGGCAACTCCTCCCACTCCAGCGGGATCCGCCGCCGCCGCACCCGAGGCGGCCCGACGTACGTCGTCCGCCCACTCGTCGTCGAGGTCGCCCATGGTGTCGTCGGCGGCGGCCGCCGCTGCAGCCGCACCAGCAGCTGCACCAGCGGCAGCACCAGCGACCGCCCCAGCGGGCACCACCTCCACGACCATGCTGTTCTCCTCCTGGGCGGCCGCGCGCCGCGCAGCACGGCGCTGGCGGCGGCGGCGGCGCTTCGCGGCTCGCGCCGCAGGGTCAGCCCCAGCAGCGCCAGCTCGGTCAGGAGGATCAGGGCGAGCAGCACCAGCATCAGCAGCGGGCGGCGGCGGCACGGCGCCCTCGGCCCCGCGGCCCACCCCGAAAAGGGTGGCAGACACAGCCGACCGCGCCACCGCCGCGACCGTGCGCCGCGGCGCACTCGCGGAAACGGCCCCGCGGACCGCCGCCTCTACCAGGAGGGCGGCGTCGCGGGCCGACCAAGCCCCTCTAGGCGCCGCCATCCGCGCCGAGCCAGGACGCGGGGCGACGGCCGTGCGAACGCTTGAGCCAAAATGGCTACGGGGATTAGAGCCACAGGAGAAGGGCAATCTATAGGAACACGCGTAAAACACCAAGGACTCGTGCCCCAGGAGAGGCCCAATACATAGGAACATGAGTAAAACAATTAGGATTGTGTACACAGGAGAAAGACCATCTATAGAAACATACGTAGAACATCAAATAATCGTGCTCCAAGTGAGGCCCAATCGATAGGAGCATACGTAACACACATGGGATTGGAGCCACTCCTGTTGCCTTCTGAGGCCTCCTGCTCCTGGGGCTTCTCGGGGCCTCCTGTTGCCTTCCGAGGCCTCCTGGCGCTTCCTGTTGCCTCCTGGGGCCTCCTGTGGTTTCCCGAGGCCTTCTGGAGCTTCCTGGGGCCTCCTGGAGCCTCTTGGGACATCCTGTGGCCTCTTGAGTCTTTCTGTGGCCTCCTGATGCCTCCTGGGACCTCATGTGGTCTCCTGGGGCCTCCTGGAGCCTGTTGGAGCCTCCTGTGGCATCCTGAGAAGAATCTGCGCCCACGAGCCTGGCCACCAAAACAAGCAAACCGATCGAGACATCCTCAAAATCTGGCCCACCTGGGGGGTGAAAATGAGCGCCTCGCTCGAGACATCCTCCAAATCTGCTCCGAAAGCAAAGGATGTTGGGCCCAGAAACAAGCAAACCGCCTGAGACATCCCCACAAAATGGCCGCGAACGAGCCCGTGCAAACACCCCTGGCGGCTCCCCTTAGGGGTGCTGAAATGAGCGCATCGCTCGAGACATCCTCCGAATCTGCTCCGAAAGCGAAGGATGTTGGGCCCAGAAACAGGCAAACCGCCTGAGACATCCCCACAAAAT